TATTATTTCGCAGTTTTATGATATTAATAATCAATATCAATAATTCATAATTTTTTATAATTTATAAAGAAATTATGCCAGTAGTTATTTTATGGATTATGTATGTATGTATACAAACAGAAACGCAATACATGCGACGATTTACTCGAAAATATTGTAATTTCATAAGATTAGACTGAATATCGTTTATTAAATGATTGATGTGAGAAGATGGCAGATGGCAAGCTGGAGGTAAATACTTTTGATGAAAATATGTCAACTAGACTCTTAGAGGTATTAGGATATTCTTAGTGTTGGCATAAACGTGAGTCCAAAATGATCGATGTAATAAATCTCCGAATATATACATATATATGTATGTATATATATATATATATATATATATATATATATGCATAAATATCCGCAGTTATCGCAAAATGTGTTATATTTATAAAAAATTTCACTTTTCATACTTATAATATACATACATATATATACATGTACATATATGGATATTGTATAATTAATAACGTAACAATTGCTGCCTTGAGATTCAATTAATTAACATGCTTAATTATAACTATCGGGAAGAGACACGACGCGTACTCGTAATTGTCCTGAGCTCGTTTCGGAGAACAGTAGAATCGCGGCTCGGTATCGGAGAGATTTGGCATCCCAATCACGTGCCGAGGCCAAGACATCCCCTTTAATATTAGGACCAAATCGGACTGACTCGCTTGGGTATAAAATAAAGGGCTGACATGCGAGCACAGCGGGAGAGAGCCGAGCCAAGCCGAGGGAGAAACCCCGTAGCCGGGATGGAGAGCTCCGTGAGAGTAACGGAGAGAGAGGCGTGGAAGACAGGCGAGGGAAGGGTGGGCTTCACCACCGCGGTGAGGGATGACTGAGCGAGTCGGTTAAACGGGCGTCTTCTTTCATAAATTTGGAGGGCGCCCCCGGATAAAGGTTTAGAATAAATCGTTCGGCCTGTTATCCACTCCGACGTCGGCGGATAACGCCAGACGAGAGCGACCCCGGATGGCTCAACAATCCCTCCTCAGCCTTCCCGCATGATCACACGTTGTACCGCTCTCAGACGCGTATTTTGCACGTTTTCCGTCTACCGTAAAAAATTTAAATCAATGTAACGTAAACAATATTTTTCATTTTGCACCGAAACAAACGAAAAATATTGGATATAATGTAAACGATAATGATATAATTCGACGAAAAGATTTATAGGATATACAGAAAGATGCGCATATTCCCTTGCAGCTACACTATGACGCATTTAATAAGGAAATTAAATCTCTTGGCAAAAAATATATTTTTTTCTTGTTAATATTCGTATTACATTTTATAAAATCGTTATAAATACAAAGGGATATTTAATGAAGAAATAACTAAGAAATGATGTAGCAGAAACGTGTATACGCGTATGTGTATACGGTAACTTACTACACGCAAGGCTGACTCTCTAAAATGGCGAACGTAATATGAAAGTTCAGGCGGGGGTGGCTAGAATGCTCATAAATACATCCTCGAAGATCGCACAAATCGCTCGTTCAAGGCCAATCCCCTTCGACGTTCCCTGCGAGAGATACGACGAGGGAACCCTTCTTCGACCCGCGTAGAAATACGCGCGACGATACGGCGAGTATACGCGAGTTACGTGCACGCACGCGTGTAACATACACGGACGCGAGGTCCGAATGTATCACAGTGCAAAAGAAGGAAAATGATGGAAAAGGGAAAGATGGAAGAGAGAGAGAGAGCACGGGTGGAAACTGGCAAGAGAGCAACGAAGAAAAGAAACGAGAGGAGGCCAAACCAGGCAGAAAGCCAGTCCAATTTCTCAAACCTGTCCAATCTGTGTCGTATGCAAAATCAATCACGCTCTACCCTGCCACACCGACCTCCCCAGGAGCCCTGGGGGGCCCCACAATTTTCAAATCTATACCCGTAGCCGCGCGGTAATCCAACTCTTGAAGCGAAACTTCTCGCCGATCTAAGACAGAGTCTCGCTATCGAGGCTATCTTTTTCGATCTATTTCATCTTTTTGACGACCCAATGTAAACATATACATGTCTGATATATACGTGAGAATGTTTCAGACGTAAACATATACGAATCTGATATATATGCGTAAATATTTCAAATTATAAATTTATGGATACGTTCGTTTTAATATATTTAACAATAAAAAAAATAAATATAAAACTTCGGAAGTTAGAGTTTTGATTTACATTATGCAAAGGACTGTCCTTCTTAAATTTTAAGAAATATTTCCTTCAACATGTGATATCAGAAAATTGAAGATAGAAATAATAATGTTAACATAATTTTGTAAACAATAACTTTTAAATAGTAATAAAGATAAATACGTAATGTGTAGCGACGTAAGTTTTTAAAAATTGTAATACGTGTATTATTATGAAGAGCATTCTCTCTCTCTCTCTCTCTCTCTCTCTCTCTCTCTCTCTC